GAATTACTTTAATTTAGAAAAGACCTGAAAATTAAATTCTCAAGTAATTTAATTAAATCATTCAAACCTTAAAATTAAACATTCCATCAGAAGTTAATGGCCAAAATTCTTCTTTATGTACCACATATTCTAACCAAGTCAAATCCTCTTTAGATCTGTATTTTCCTATAAAACTGCAATAAGCAAAGCACACAAATACAAAGCTCCATTTAATAGAGGCTTGGTGTCTAGAATCAGCTTTAAGGTAGAGAAGTATTAAGGACAAAATAAGTACTTGGTCTAGTGGTTTAAGTGGCCTGACTGCAAGCTAGGCTAAAAATACCAAAGGGACTACCTAATGCATGGCCTAATCATTGAATGCTCCTTGAATTCCATGCTATCATATTTCTATAGATTCATTAATGCTAAAATGATCCCAATAAACTGATATATTTATAATTTCACTTAAACAGAACAATTTTTCAAAATCATTATAATATTGCTGGTGATGTTAATATATATGCATCTATTGTTTATATGGGGTAATTCTTTTCCTCTTCACAGTGGTAGGTTGTACAAATACAATAATTTTTCTTTTATCAGACAGTAATTGCCCTCAGAATCCTACTGGGAACATAGACTTTTAAATATAATAGGCCTAAGGATAGGTTTCACTGTATTTATAATGATTATCAGATACATTTTGTTTTGCATGAATACACACACCAGCACCAAAATGTTTTCTTTTCTATGGAAGATAAACTACACATTATTTAGCAATGTGTAAATAAGAGAAACAAACTTAATGAGGCAGATCTCAGGTTCCTCTTTCTAGCAACTAAATGGAAGAACAAATAATAGAATGCTTCATATTATCAAAAACCTCTTAACCTTTAATTAGAAATCCTAAAAAGATGCTATTTTAAAGTTTTTAATGTTTGAATTAGAAACATAACTGCCAGCCCCAGCATGAGTTCCAATGTACTGCAATGCAAAACTGCATGCTCTCTTTCAAATATTGATTATGTATGAACAAAATTTATAGAAAAATATTTTAATATATTGTTGGCTGAATCCACTACGTTTAGAGTTTATTTAGAGTATAAAGATTTCTAGAAATACATTTTAAATAATATTTTCTGGTGATATACTTTGGTTGATGAACTGCATTTGGCAATTACTACCCTTTGAGACCTCTGGTACTCTCCTGCTCTTAAACTTGGTAGGTATCGTTTACTACTTAGTAGGGAGATCAACAAAAGTTTCAGTTTCCCATGTTAGATTATAATCTTTTCTAAGGCCCAGATGAAATGTAAAGGGAGAATAGTACCTTTCATGATGTCCTAAATCCAAAAGAAATTGATCTGTGTATCTTTGGAGTTCATTTCCTTCTAAGTTCTTTAATTTCTTCAGTTCACTCTGTAGGAAAAACCAGAGCTCTTTAGCTCCATTTTCTATCCTCCTTCTCAGGATTTCATGATCCTTCCCCAGACCTGCAGTCAAAGAATAGAGAGTAGAAGCATTTCTAACGTTTTGAAAAAAGGAAGTTTTCAATTATTTGTGCTAAAGCCAATAAACTGAGGGGGGGAAACATTGTATGATCACCTACCATTTCTGGTTTGTTTCTTGTAATTTTCAATTTGTTCTTTGGCCTTAACAAGTTGCTCTTCTAAAACACGTACCCTTCCTGTAGCTGGTCCCTGATCAATGGGACCTTCTGGTATCCTGTAGTTCAGGGAAGAAAATGTAAATATTTAGTTTTTAAATTATGCAACAAAATACAAGCTTACTTTGCCAAAACATATGTACTGGTAACCCTATAAGTCATTGAGCCATACAGCACAAAAGAAGTACCAAATAAAATTTTCTCTTCAAAGGTATGGAATTAACCATAAAAAATGAAATGATGATAAACAAAAACAGAAAATAATAATCTAGCTCAGAAATATATGGCCTTCTAGAAGTTAAGACATCTTTAGATCTGTTTCCTAAAAAACTGTAATCCTATTACTTAAAGCGCCACTATTAGTGGCAACGTGGTCAATTCATCATTATATTGAGCATAACAAAAGTGAAGAAAAGGTTTAGAGGCAATAAGAAAGCACATATCTGAACATGTGTCTACGGACGTGCTAAAATGTCAAAACAAAGTATTTCTAAATTAATCACAATATCAGGCTACATAAATCTGGATTTCAATTCATAAATTCATGACTTAGATTACTAAGCATTTGTTTTACAGGGAAGAAAAAGAGTAGAAGATGAAATATATTAGAAAAAGAATTGAAGGTTAATGTCCTGTTTGTTTCTATCAGCAACAAAAAATATTAGTCAATAGTATAAAATATTGGCACATAGCAAAGGAACTCCAAGATCTTTTGATTATATTATCAACCTATCTGTTCAACTTCTTTCCAAACTGTTCTTGTTTCTAACATGTTTTGTTTTTATGTGACTTTTGGTAGTATTCTGTACTCAATTTTGACATACATACATAAAATTTTGTGTTAGGCTAAACAATGGTCCCCCAAAGATATCTACATTCTAATCCTTGGAACCTATCTACGTTCTAATCCCTGGAATATTACCTTATATGGCAAAAGAAACTTTGAATGTGTAATTAAGTTAAGGATTTTGAGATTGGGATATTGTTCTGGATTTTCCAGCAGGCCATAATTGCAATCACAAGTGTCCTTGGAGGGAGGGAGAGAGAGATTTTACCACCGAAAAGGAAATGGTTATCTGGCTCCTAGCTTTAAGATGGAGGAAGGGGCCATGAGCAATGCATCTTTAGAAGCTGGAAAAGGCAAGGAAGCAGATTCTATCCTAGAGTTTCTCTAGGGAATGCAGCTCTCCTGACACCTTGGTTTCAGCCTAGTGAAACTCATTTCAAACTTGTGGCCTCCAAAACTGTAAGAGAATAAATTTCTGTTGTTTTAAACCACCAAGTTTATGGTATTTATCACAGCAGCAATAGGAAACTAATACATACATATGTATGTATATAACCTTTTGCAAAACTGTTATGCAAATTAAATAATGGCCAATTTTTCTTTCAAATTTAAATGAGAAAAATGTCTATAAAAGTACTTAGCACAGTGTCTGGCAACAAATTTTATGAAGGCTATCGTATCTGAGCTTAGTCAGTGTAGAGATAAGAAGTCTTGGATATCTTGGATATCTTTTCTTACCATCACAATCAGTTTAAGGGAATATAATTTTAAAATTATAGTTGGCACGACTTAAATTCAGATGTCAACACTGTCCTTTGATGTAAAGACTCTGGTATAGTAGTAGGATTTTTATGACTTCTCTAACATTTTTATTTGACTGATAAAGCCAAATTAACTGTCGATTACCTATCCTACTTGAGAATACATGGTTAGTAAAGTAGCTATTGCTACAGCTATATCAGAATAATTCGAGGCATTTTATAATTTCCTGTAAAATCATATGCATTAACATTGAATAGGAGCATAAAAAATAACCATCGTCCAACTGTACAGAATATGAATGAAAAAGCCTTCATTTGTATAAGCATAAAGTGAATAATGATAAAATGAACACAGTAGTTAAGTGCACAATTATCCAATTTATGAGCACACATACATTCACACATGAGGCATGTCCTGGTATATAGTTTTTAAAACTTATAGTTTTTAAAACCTGGCTCTTGATCTCTTTCAGAATTAGATGGCTGGTTTCTAGGAAACATTTTGAAAACAGAATAAAACTTCTACTTCTTGGGATTTATTTTGGTAGCAATATGCCATAAGATAGGAATGTCCTTTTTCAGAACATGCTTTAGTGACAGAAAAATTCAGACAGTAGAAAGATTATGTCTATGTTCTCCTTTTTATCTCATTTCTTCATATATTAATAGAATAAATATCAGGAGCAAAACAGGCATGAAAAAATAGCACATAATCTTTTCAGCAGATTTCCATTAAGTACTAAATCTAATCTAATTCCAAAAAAACATGGAACTAGTGGTTTATATTATTATATCTAATAATCTAATCCATCTGTGAAGAAGCTGTAGATAAAGAAAAGTACTGGAGAAACCAAAGTAAAAAAAAAAAAAAATACAAGACAACTATTTTTTCTAAACCCCATCCAGAAAAGAGTCTGCATGAACAGTCTCCTTTCTCAATACTTAGGGAATGGAATACTTTATTACCATGTTCTCTATGCAAAAGATATATAAGACTTCTGCTTCTGGCCAAGATGGAATAAAAGAGATCAGATTTACCATCCTGCCTAAAACAACTCAAAATCCCTAGAAATGTATAAAATGATCTAATAAAAGTAGAATGAGGCAATAAAAGGCAGTGATCACCAAAGAAGGAAAACAAAACAACGAGAGCCCTATGACTGCCCTAGCTTACTGCCTTGAGAGTGTTTCCAGACTACAGTCTATAAAGGCGGAATCCAGGAAAACCCTAGCAAATTCCCTGAGTTGAAGAAATGGAGCTAAATCTAAAAACAACAAGACAACTAGAGTTCGGATGACACAGTACTATAGAGGAGAATGCTGAATAAAGAGAGAGCTCTGGAGATCTGCAGAGGTAACCACCTGAGAATCAGCAGTATACTGATCAGCACGTGCAGGTAAGGAAACTACTCAAGTCCACAGGAAGAAATCTGTAAAAAGGATTAGGGGAAGTAATACTTGGCATTCATACAAGGTTGGGTGAGACCAGTTCCTGATCCTACCAGCCAAATTGGAAAACTTCATGATCCATGGGGCAATGGGTAAAATGCTGAGAAGTATTTGGCCTCAATAGTGGGGAAATTAGCACCAAACGAAACATTGCTTGGGTCCTGCTTAACAATTCTTAAAAGCAAGACTCAAAAGGATCAAATTATTTTCAAATAGCTTAACTATATTCCAGAACAAAGATGAAGACTATTCATAAGAATACAAAAGTTTCTATTAATACTAACCAACAAGGTAAAATTCATGATGTCTGAAATCCAACAAAAGAAACCGCAAAAGACAAACCATAAAGAGGAGAAAAATCAATCAATCAAAATCATCCCAAAACTGACACAGATGTTAGAATAAGCATTTAAGGAACAGTTGTTATGACTATGTTTTATATGTTCAAAAGTTAGAGACAGGGAAGATATAATAAAGATCCAAGTTGAACTTCTGGAGATGAAAACTATAATGCCTGAATGAAAAATATAATGAATAAGATTTATTGCAAATTGTATTTTGTAGCTTCTACCTTAAGAAACTAAGAAAAAAAGAGCATATGAAACCCCAGGTATGTGGAAGAAGGGAAATAATAAAGATCAGAGAGGAAATCAATGAATGGAAAAAAGAAAGACAATAGAGAAAAATCAATGAAACTAAAAACTAGTTCTTCAGAAAAATCAGTAAGATTGACAAACTTTTTCCTAAAGAGCCAAATAGTAAATATTTTAGGTTTTGCAGGACAACAGGCAAAATAAAGCCTATTACTGAAGTACATATATAACATTTAAAATGTAAACATTTAAATATGTCAACTCATTTTTAGCCATGGGCCATAAAAAAAGGTAAGAGTAGGATTTGGCCCATGGGCCATAGTTTACCAACTCCTATTCTAGCCAGACTGATCAGAAAACATAGAGGGAATACTTCCCAACTCATTCTATGAAGCCAGTATCCTTATACCAAAATCAGAGAAAGATATTCTAAAAAAAGAAAATTACAGGCCAATATCCCTCATGAACACAGATATAAAAATTCTTAAAAAAAAAAAAAGTTTAGCAAACCAAACTCAAGCATATATAATAAAGACAGTAAATTATGATTACATGGGATTTATCCTAGAAATGAAAAATTGGTTTAACATTTTAAAAAATCAATGCAATTCTTCATATTAACAAAATTTTACAAAACACATATGATTGTCTCAATAGACTCAGAAAACATCCAACATCTACTTCTGATGAAAAATGTCAGTAACTAGGAAATTAAGGTAACTTCCTCGACCTGATAACAAGCATCTATGAAAAAGTTACTGTTAACACCATAGTTTAATGGTGAAAGAGTAAATATTTTTCACCTAAGATCAGAAACAAAACAAGGACATACTCTCTCACCACCTCTATTCAACACTGTATTAGAGATTCTAGCCAGTGCAACACGCAAGAAAAAGAAACAAAAGCCACCCAGGTTGGAAAGAAAGAAGCAAAGCTATCCTTGTGTACAGATGACATGATAACCTATGTTGAAAATCTGATGGAGTTTAACAAGGCTGCAGAATACAAGGTCAACATACAAAATTCAATTTTATCTCTATATTCTAGCAAAAAAACTTTCAATTGATATCATTATTACTTATAATAATATCAAAAACATGAAAAATTAAGTGTAAATCTGGCAAAAGACAGGCAAGACTTATAAACTTAAAATTATAAAACAATGCTGCCTT